AAAAAAAAAAAAAAAAAAAAAAAAAAAAAAGAATCCCATTCTAGCTTTGCTTTGAGTCTTTTTCTCTGATCTCCTATCTGAATGGTGCTAGACAGCATGTCATAATGTCATATTCAGGGATGGGTTATACTTGGGCCCGTGGTTCGAATTTGTGGAGTTGCAGTCACAGTTAGAACAAAGTATTTGCCCTCTATATGATTGTTTTCATAATGACACCACACTGGGATGAAGGGAAGGTTTTGGCAAGATTTTGTGTTGGATTCTTTTGGCCTTTTATTGTTGTTTTGTGTCAGGCCCAAGACCTTTGTCTTTTGTCTAGTAATAACATCATGATCTAGGCAGACACTCTGCCAGCTTACAGTTAATCTCTTGATCTGTTTTGTATTATTCTTTGTTGAGCTAATGTTTAGCATCTATGCCAGTAACCGGGGAGTTCGTACTCTGATGTATGTAAAAACTAGGGTGCATTCTCTTCCCAGTCTGTTCACTGTCTTTTCCTTTGTCTTTTCAGCATACTAGGTAAGTTCATTCTTAGAGCATGAATACCATCAGCATTAGAACTCCCAGGATATAATAAAGTTAAACCATCCATCATAGATGCTTGTAAATTACCCACTGAAAAATGTTTTTATCAAGATAAAAATGGATCAAGGGGATGTTTTAATGAGGGAATTTTAAAAAATTACATGAATTAAAGACTTGAGAAAAGTTGAAACTTGAATTAGCATATAAAATAAGGTTCTAGGGCTTCCCTGGTGGCGCAGTGGTTGAGAGTCCGCCTGCCGACACAGGGGACACGGGTTCGAGCCCTGGTCTGGGAAGATCCCACATGCTGCAGAGCAACTAAGCCCGTGTGCCAGAACTACTGAGCCTGTGCTCTAGAGCCTGTGAGCCACAACTACTGAGCCCGCCTGCCACAATTACTGAAGCCTGTGTGCTCCAGGGCCCGTGCTCTGCAACAAAGAGAAGCCACTGCAATGAGAAGCCTGCGCACGGCAAGAAAGAGTAGCCCCCGCTCGCAGCAACTAGAGAAAGCCCGTGCACAGCAACGAAGACCCAACGCAGCCGAAAATAAAATTAATTAATTAATTATTTAAAAACATAATAATAAGGTTCCTAAGCACCTTGTTATCCTTGTGGTTAATGACCATCTTTATTTATAAAGTTGGTAGAATGACCAGGAGCAGCTGAAAGGGAATGCTGCCCACGCCACGTGCTAGCCAGTACTAGAATTGCCTGTTTGCCGTGGCTTAGAGGCCCTCAGTACTTGGGTTGTTATCTTTCTAGCACATTAGGTATCAACCAGCACTCTAGAATTGCTAAACAGGATGGACTTCGCTTGGAGGCAGATTGGTAACCTATGAAAACAAAACATCACAAGTATTACATGATTTCAGGGCTAGGGATCAGAGCAGTGGTTGATACGGTTGTATGGAGTAGTCCTCTGTTTGCAAAATATATATGGGGATCTTAGCTTACAGTCTGAGGAGAGGGTGTTGGCAGGGTAGAAAGGTAAGATTATGGATTTTATAATGTTAGCAGTGTATTTGACAGCTTAGGACAGTGGAAGCATGGTGGCAACACATGGTAATTCAAGGTCAGATTTACCTTGACGGGCGGTATCTTTGCACTAAAAAAATTATACTCTTGAGGATTTTCCTATAGCGCAAGCACCGATTGTGTAATGAAAATCTTATTTGCCAGTTTATTTGCAGTTGGCTTGGTGATTTTCCCCTTCATATGATCTCCCCTGCTTGTGACCATGAAATCATCCTTAAAATAGTTCAAATTTAATATCTTTGCTATAGGATGAAGAGCCCCTGCCGGTTTAGGAAGAAGAGTAGGTAATTAGGAAGAAAAATAACATCAGTCATTTGATCCTAGTTATCATAGCATTGAAATGTTTAAAACAGACAGTTTGTGCTTTGCATTGTTTGATTACTTCATTTTGCATGTGATACCCTGTGATCACTAAAATAATCGGAGCAAGCAATTCAAGAAACTCGTTAGTTAGGAAAATATATATTTAATGAAACAGAGTCTGTCACAGATGTTTTGTGATTGTGTCTGGGATAACCTTTCAGATATTCATATGATTATTTCCTTTTAAGGCATAGTGTTTACCTTTACTGGAACTGTCTGTCCATATTACAGTGTATATTTTTCAAATGCATACATGTGTACAATTACACACCAGAAAGGGGGGTATAAAATAGTAGTAGGTATTATCTCCCAGGAAGTTCTTTTTTTATCCCGGTAATTGCTTAATTTACAGAAAGGCAAGTTAAGCAGTTGGATTCTTTCATTTTTTCTTCTTCTCTATGCTTGTTAACACTTGGGTGGCTTGAGCGTTGGTGGAAATACAGTAAGTCTGCTATATACGAACCTTCAAGTTGCAAACTTTGAAAGATGTGAACGTGCATTTGCGTATCCAGTCACCTAAGTTTGTTCACGTGTCTGGCGTACATTGTCACATGTGTGACAGCTAAGTCCGCGCATGGGCTTAGTTGCTCCGCGGCATGTGGGATCTACAAGTGGTTGTGCTTTTGTGTACTTTACTCTATAGTACTGTATAGAGTACAGTAGTACAGTATCTTTATTTCAAGCCCAGCATGTCCAGAAGCAAGTTGATTACGTAATCGTAATTTTCTTGTAGGTTTATTATCTCTGAGGATTACTTATTTTTTATTTTATTTTTTTTGCGGTACGCGGCCCTCTCACTATTGTGGCCTCTCCCACTGCGGAGCACAGGCTCCGGACGTGCAGGCCCAGCAGCCACGGCTCACGGGCCCAGCCGCTCTGCGGCATGTGGGATCCTCCCAGACTGGGGCACGAACCCGTGTCCCCTGCATCGGCAGGTGGACTCTCAACCACTGCGCCACCAGGGAAGCCCTGAGGATTACTTTTGAGCTTT